GGCATCTCTTATGAACGAACTCAAAACATCACTGTCAACGAGTTGGGTTTCCACAAGGTGTCTGCGAGGTGGGTTCCGCGACTGCTTTCAGTTGAACAAAAAAGGACACGATTGACTATTTCACGCGACTGTTTGGAGTTATTTGAAGCCGATGCAGATGATTTTTTGAATCGTTTTGTTACTATGGACAAAACATGGGTTCATTACTGTACACCGGAAACAAAACAACAATCAAAACAGTGGAGAAGACCTGGTTCACCACCCCCTAAAAAGGCTGAGTCGATTTTGTCGGCAAATAAGGCGATGGCTTCAGTATTCTGGGACTCGAAAGGTGTGATTATGATTGATTATCTTGAAAGGGGTCAGACTATAAACTCTGATTACTACTGCACCTTACTACGTCGTTTACGAGAGGAAATAAAAGAAAAACGTCGAGGAATGCTCAGAAGAAAAGTCCTGTTTCATCAAGATAACGCCCGTGTTCACACGTCATTACAGTCAATGACTGAAATTCACAACTGTGGCTTTGAACTGTTACCGCATCCGCCGTATTCACCTGATCTGGCACCATCAGACTTCTTTCTGTTCCCTAACCTAAAAAAGCACTTGGGAGGTCAAAGATTTTCGACAAACGACGAGGTCAAAGCAGCTGTAGACGCATATTTTGACTCTAAGGAAGAATCATTTTTTTCAACGGTCTAAATGCTTGGAAGGGGAGGTGGCAAATGTGTATTGAACTTGATGGTGATTATGTAGAAAAATAAAAATATAACTGATTTAGTGTGTGTTTATTTTCTTGGTTAGGCCGAGTACTTTTCAATCCACCCTCGTAAAACTAGAATACGCGCGCGTCACCGCGCATGCATGTGTGTGTGTGTCGTCCTCCCGCACCGCACCGAGGGAAAAATTATTCAGTGAGATGCACGATAATTCATATAAACACGCGCGCGTAAAAAAATACGAAAAGGCCTTTGGAAGGAGGGGTTTTATGAAAAACCCACTGCATGAATCAATTACCAATAAAATTTATTGAATTCTTCGATAATTGAGCTGTGTCGGTACCGACTTTGTTTTGGAAATTTTACACTGCTTTTATTACTAATTTACGCCCAAAGTTGTGTTAAAATTGGCAATAAAAACGAATCTTTGGTAGCTCGTAACTTTTTACTGACTTTTTATTTTACTAGTCTGTTTCGGTACAGACAAAATTAATAATGAGACAAAACGATATCATGTTTAACTTTGGATGTACACTGTCAAACAGCGGAGTAAAACCCCTGCGAAATTTCTATGGAAATAATGTCGACTAGAGTCACCTTAAATGTCTTTCTTCACTGAATATACCTAGATGGGTATCAATAGAATATCCAGTCTCTGGTGAAATCCACTGTTTTTGCGATGCATCGCAGCGCGCCTATGGAGCGTGTTTGTACCTTCGATCTACAAATAAAGAAGGACAAGTACACGTCCAAATCTTATGTACGAAATCTCGCGTTGCCCCAGCATCCAGCCCTATTATAATTCCTCGTTTGGGTGCTCTTGCAGCTGAAATGAGCTCAACTGTGACAAAGGCCTTACGACGTAAAATATCGCGTCATGTCTATTGGACTGACTCGAGGGTAGTTCTTAGTTGGTTGCGCTGCAGTTCTTCTAACTTGAAAGCATTCGTTGCCAACAGAGTCGCCGCCATCAAAGAGTTGACTGACGCTAATTCATGGCACCACGTTCCTACAGAACATAACCCAGCCGACCTACTATCCCGTGGCGTTAACCCACAACAAATCGCTGCATGAGAAATGTGGTGGTATGGACCTAAGTTTTTATTGTTGCCTGAGTCCGAGTGGCCTTCTATACAGTCGCAGACTATTATTGGGATGAAAAATTTGCCTGAAGTTAAGGCACATCCAGTTGCTATTTGTGATAATTATCAATCAATTATTAACTTTAGTAAATATTCTAAATTAAAACAATTATAACACATTTTAGCCTATGTACATAGATTTATTAATAACTAAATATTGTAAAACTAAAGCTACAGGTTCCTTAACTACCGCCGAGCTTAATAAAGCTCTTTACTCATTAGTTTATATTTCCCAATTAGAGGCATTCCCCAAAGAATACGATTTATTATTAAAGGGAAATTTTCTAAGTTCTAAGTCGCACATTTCGGCACTGAACCCCTTTTTACATGAAGGAGTGATAAGAGTAGGAGGTCGTATTCAGGTTTCTGAATATAGTTTCGACATGAAGCATCCCATGTTGTTAAGCCGTAAACACCATTTTACCCAACTTTTATTCCAACAAGAACACGTACGGCTTCTACATCTAGGGCCCCAAGCCTTACTAGCTTCTATTAGAACGCGTTTTTGGCCCATAGGTGGAAGAAGTCTGGCTAGACGTACTGTGCATAATTGCACCGTATGTAGACGTTTTAAGGGTCAGCCTATAAAAAACATAATGGGCAACCTACCTGCTCAAAGACGACTTTCTCTTTATTACAGTTGGGACTGATTTCGCTGGGCCATTTATGATCACGGATTGCAAAGGTCGTGGTTGTAAATATACAAAATGTTATTTGTGTATTTTCATATGTTTAAGGTATAAGTGCATCCACTTGGAGGCTGTTAGTGAGCTGTCCAAGGATGCTTTTATATTAACTTTGAAACGCTTTGTTTCGAGGAGAGAGCTACCAAAGCAGATATTCTGCGACAATGGTGGAAACTTTGTTGCTGCTTCAAAGGAACTTAAAGGGTTTTTTGAAGGTAACGCCAAAGCTATCGCTGATTTTTCCTGCAACGAAGGCGTTGAATTTTGTTTCTCGCCTGCATACGCTCCTCACTTCAATGGTCTGATGGAGGCCGGTGTAGTCAGCCAAATTCCACCTCGCGAGGATATTAGGGACTACGCACCTAACCTATGAGGAATTGTCATCCTTGTTCACACAAATAGAATGCATCCTTAACAGCCGCCCCCTATGTCCACTAAGTTCCTCTCCTACTGACTATTATCCCTTAACTCCGGGCCACTTTTTAATTGGTAGACCACTAAGCTCGCTGCCATCTCCGTGTCTACAATCCGATAATGCCAATTGTCTCGACAGATTCCAGCGCATCGAGCAGTTTAAACAACACTTTTGGCGACACTGGAGCCACGAATATATTGCGGAGCTGCAGTTAAGGACGAAGTCGCGCACGAAGTCCAAAGAGAGCAATATACATGTATAATCACGTCATCGTCATACTCCTCGCCTACTTGCCAGAGACACCTGGTGGCAAGGAAACTACCGCTAGCAAATCCGTAGGTTACAAATATATATATATATATATATATATATATAAACTTACTACATCAATTGCTGCTGATAATGTGTTCTATTTGGATCTAAAACTATATTGACGTTCAATAAGAAAGTTTTTAGCGTTTAAATATTCATAAGTCTGTTATATATTATTTTTTCAAGCACGAGATATTACAGAGAACACTAAGGTGGGTTTATATTTACTAGAATCAGTTTTTGGTCCGGACTCATGGAGTGGGCTAACTTCGCAAGTTTCACGCTGTCAGGGAAATGAACCATTTGGTACATTTTTTGATGTAATTTGAAAGGTCAGTGGTAATGACATTTTTCATGCATTTAAGGGCCTTTGAACTTATTCCATCGAAACCCGTACTTGTGTGGTTATTTAAATTATTAATAATTTTTAATACTTCTTTGACACTACAAGGTTCTAATTCACTTAAAATAATATTATGTTGGTAAGTAGCTTTGTACATAAAGGTATTAACTGAGCTTGAGTGGTATTTTGGATGTATCTACTTACCAATTCTGTGCCAATCGTCAAAAAGTAGTTATTTACAACCTTATATCCATCAGTTAAAGCACTGGAGAGTGTGGAGAGCTTAGGCACACCACCACTATTGCCACCCACTAACTTGTTTACATCTTTTTTTTTTTGAGTACATCATAGAACAAATAAATAAAATTGAAGTATCTGTTTGTAACGTCAGAATAACAGATTTTTACTAAATGCATATGACAGCATATATATATGGTACTTTATCAAAAAAAAATTTAGTCCGTCATCTGACTGTCTGTACATCTATCTGTTTATCTGTTTGCTCCGGCTAACCCCCAAATGACCATTGGGCTCACCAGTTAGCTAAATTTATAAGGAGTATTTTTAGATAATGATTTCTTATATTTACGCGAACACTATACATGATTAAAACTACTTTTACGGATTTTATCGCGTTTATTTTTACTTTTTATTTACTTTTACTTTTAATTCCCGACGTTTCGGGCGCTTTCCCAACCATGGTCACGGGGGACTGTTCTTTCGCCAGGATTTGTGGTCTATCACATCTGATGTAATGGTTGGGTCCGTCTAGGATATGATCATAAGCTGCAGACTTCCCGGAACGTTGAGTTGAGTCTGAATCAAATCCTCGCGAAAGAACACCGATTCCTACCAAGGATGATACGTGAGGCTATTGAAATTAAAAAACATCCTAATTTCAATAGAGAAGGAGGCTGGGTACTACCACCTGCTTGGGATTCTATAATCAATAAAATTAAAACTAAACCCAAGCATACCACTGCAAGACCTCAGGACATAGTCAGTTCATTTTGCATAGATCGGACCATAAACAATAATTAAAAAAGCTGAAGGTACTCCGGGTTTAACAATGACATCGGGACGTCAGTCATCTCAGTCCCCCGTGACCATGGGTGCCGGAAAGCGCCCGAAACGTCGATAATTAAAAATAAAAGTAAATAAAAAGTAAAAATAAACGCGATAAAATCCGTAAAAGTAGTTTTAATCGAGTATTTTTAGTTTAGTCAGAGACTTTAATTTTAGAAAAAGAATTGGGGTTTTCGCGAAAAAAAATTAAAACCCATGTAATGTGATCGTAATAAATTCCACGTGGAGGACGTCGCAGGGAACAGTTAGTGAATAATACTTGTAATATGAACTTAAAGTGAGTGAGGAGCGACGTACCTGATCATGGTGAAGACGGAGTTAAAGTTATCGATGTCCTCGAGCTGGTCACGTGCCGGTGCAGCGTCCTCCTGGTCGATGCTGGTCATGTCGGACGTCGCGCTGTGGGACACGCCCCCGCTGCTGCAACACACGACTTCATCTCACTCGTCATCAGACTTTTTGTATGCGAGGGGCACGAGCACGCGGCTCAAGTGATGGAAAGCCACTACCGCCGCTCATGAACAACTGCAACACCGGGGGAATTCCAGATGCATTGCCGACTTTTTGAACAATAGTACCTAGGCTTTTCTTTAAGCCTTTTAATAATATACCGGAAAGAACCCTGCCAAGTTGGGAGGATTAACTGTTATCACTATTAGTGGTAAGCAGATGTAACTTACAAGCTGTGTTACCGTTTTCACCACTTCAGGATTTAAATTTTCCAAAATCATTTCTTAGTGGGTGTCACATTGAGAAAGAAGTATATATGCCCAATTTCAAGTCAATCGGGCGCAGGGCTGCCAGATGTACGATTTTAATCGTACTCCTACGATTTTTTGGCATTTTTACTCATGTACTATCGCTAGACCAAGACCGTACGGAAAATGTACGATTTTCATATACCTGGCAAATCTGGCAACATTTCATAATGAATTGAACGTGCTCAACTGGCAAGTATGAGTTTCGGGGAATTCCCCAACAATCTAACGCGTACGTAGATCTTTTACTTGAATGAAGACTCTTTATGGTCATTTAAAGGCTGTATTTGTTTGCATTTTTTCGAAACTTTTTTTTTTTCGGTAATAATTGCGATTTCTTAAAAACTCTTTTTTCTTGTTAGTCTCGTTCGAACTGTACATAGTTTATGTATGCTCTTTGAATCTGTATACTGTCTTCAGTGCTTTTTTATGTTTGTGGTTTTTGGTCAAGCAAGAATGTGTGACAAAAGTGAAGACGAGCGACTTGCGCCAGGTACTCCAAAAAAGAAATTGGCTAAAAGAGGAGAGCTTTCTATAGCAGAGAAGGATAAACACAGAGCACAGAAGTATCGACCTGATTGGGAAAAACTAGACTTTTTTAAGGACTGGTTAGGGCCTGGTAAAATCAATTTAAAGCCAGGTGCACTGTTTGTGACGTCGAAATGGTTTCAGAATATGGAGTTTTAAAATTACATTCTTCAAGGCAAAAGCATACGAAAGCCATGTCTGCAATACCAAGCAAAACAAAACAGCATAATATCATGTCCGCATTTGTTACGAAAGGAATTATGTCGAAGAATAAAGTTGTCACAGCGACTAAAATCAAGCTGGCGGGTTTTCTAGCTGAGCATAATATTGCATTCCAAACTGCAGATCATATGTCAGATTTAATAAATGGTATATTGGAAGATTTTGGAGTGGAACATAAAATTGCTATGAAAAGAACAAAAGCTACAGCTGTAATCACCGAAGTAATTGGTGAAAGTGAAAAATCGTCTCTAGCCGAAAAACTGAAAACTGAGAAATTCATTGTTATGTCTGACAAGTCAACAGATGTCAGCACTCACAAGGCCAGTTGTATAATTGTTAGATATTATAACGTTGATTAAAATAAAATTGTGAGTAAGTTTTGGGATCTTTGCAAAATATTTAGCTCTGATGATGAAAAAACAGCAGAAGAAGGTGCTACTGGCGTACACTAATTTGTTTAACATACTGATGAAGTCTTTTTCTGCCCGGGATATATCGACAAAAAATATGATTAGTTTTGGTGCAGACGGTTGCAACGTGATGATGGGTGGGAATAACTCTGTGGCGAGCAGACTCAAGAAAAATTTGCCAGGTAATTGACTTTATAATGAAATGTGTTTGCCACTCTGCACACCTTTGCGCATCTGAATCGTGCAAACAATTACCAAGGCGCTGCGAAGATTTAGCGAGAGAGATATATAGTTTTTTCAAAAATAGTTCAAAAAGACAATTTCGCCTTCAACAGTTTCAAGAATTTGTGAGTGCTTCGCCTCACAAGATTTTGCATTCTTCACAAACCCGTTGGTTGTCAATGGTGGTGGTTGTAGATCGAGTATTAGAACAACGGGATGCATTAACATTGTTCTCTACTGACTGCTGGTTGAATTAACGTCTTGTTTCAACAGAACTGATATTTAATAGCTTAAATGATCCATTCATGCAGCTTTATTACCTGTTCCTGTCTTGCATATTGCCCAAATTTACCAATTTCAATAAACTTTTTCAATCGGAAAAAGTAGTGATTACATGTTTAAACGAAAAGGTGCGCGAAATGTATAAAGATATTTTGCTATGTATTTTGGATCGTGATTATGTCAACAAAACTGAGCTTTCTACCATTGATATTGAACGACAAGAAAAATGGTTAAAAGATGATCAAATTTATTTGGGAATCCGAGTGATGAACAAAATTACACAGCCTGAATTTCGTCGTCAGATTCCTGCCACTAAGGAGTTTTTTCATCGCTGTCGGCATTTTCTAGTCACAAGCGCTAAAGAAATAAAAAAGATATGACCTAGATGATCCCATTCTACCAAAAATAGACTGTATTGAACCTACCAATGCTGTTGCTAGTAATTACAGGAATAAAGTACCTACCTTACAGCCGCTTATGATACTTGTTCCAAGAATTGTAAAACCCGACGACATTCAAATGATGCAGGCAATAGATGACGAATGGCGCAGTTTTCCCAACATTTCAGATAAAATTGATTTATCTATGAATACCGACGAGTTTTGGGGCATCATCAAAAAACAATTTGAGAATTATAAAACACTGGCTCAATTTGCCTTAAATTTGTTATGTTTGCCCCATTCTAGTGCAGATTGTGAAAGAGCATTCAGCGAAGTAAACTTAATAAAAACAAAACTTAGAAACAGTTTATCAAATGAAACACTAAAGGGAACATTATTAGCCAAACAATTAATAAGAATAAACGAAAATTGTACGAAGTTTAAGCCAACAAAAGAAATGTTAAACAATATGACCACAGACAATTTGTATAATTCTAATAAATAGTTTTTTTTTAATTGTGTAGTTTTAAGTTTTTATTTTAATCTTTTTTTTGTTTTGTTGTGTAGGTATACATAAGGCATCTGCCAAATAAATATGTTTTCTTTCTTTATTTCTTTTATTGCATTTCTTTTCTAAAACTAAACGATTACTTGTTATTTTTAATAAAAACTTTGTACTTATAAGTTGTACGATCTTTTCATTTCTAAATTTCCTTGGCATACGATTTTTTTTTAGTTGTCGTACGATCACACCAGTTTTGCACCTGGCAGCCCAGCATCGGGCCGATTCGGGCGTATAGTTTTGGAGATCTCGTGATTAGCTGAGTGAGTCAGAGGTATTTCGCTTTATAGATTAATAGACGAGACGAAAGAGGTATGTAAGGATCGTGACACGTGGCGATCTGTTCTCTCTGGCTACTCCGTTAGGGATTGTGCGTGAAGATAAGTAAAGTAAGTATAGATTAGTAGAAGATACAGCTTAGCTGGAATCAATTGATTGTGCTGGCTGGTATTTAGTTTTATAATTTATATAACACAAACTTGATATACTTTGTTTGGACTGAGTGACCATGTGATGATACGTTTTAATTGAAAATACACCATATCAACTCCGCTGGTGACTCGATGCGCTCAACTGGTATTAATAGTAATGGTTAAATTACAATTAATACCAGTTTGACGACTCCGTGGCGGAGTGGCTTAGCAATGAGGGCTGCGCTGGGGGTCGCGGGTTCGAATCCCGCACGGAACAAGTATTTGTATGGCCTTCAAATAGTTGTTTCGGGTCTGGATGTTTGTCCTTGTGCAATTTATGTTTGTAAACTGCCCCCACGATACAAGAGAAAATCTTAGTGTAGGGGTAACGTTTTTTAAATAAAAGAAAAGAAAAAAAAGTTTATGCTTTCTTTTGCTACACCAGCGCCGTACACATCATTAATCCTTCGAGCTGTTTCTGCAGCACTGGTGCCACGGTAGAACTCGTACTCGTAAATATACCGATATTTCATGTTTTCCATTGTGCGGTAATAAGCGACCCAAAGGAAAAAATAAGGAGGAAAAACAAATGAATGACTGTTTACAAAACTCAAATGTGCCAGCTAAAAGAATTTATAAATTTGAATTCGCAATTCTTAACCAAAGAGGAGATATTTCAGATCAAAGTGGTTAGTACGACAAAACGAACCAATATAACATCATGAGTAATACAAATAGTAATAATACTTCTTGACACTTCAATTCAATTCAATTCAATTGTTGTGTTTTATATCTAGCGTATATTTATTTATTTATTTATTTATTTATTTATTTATTTATTGACACACCAACAGCATAACATACAAAACATTACAATAATCTTCGTCTTATAAATAGTTTGGTATGCATGCCAATTACTGGTGCATACATCACTCTCGTTAGAAGACATTAAATTAATTTAAGTTCAAAATAAATTTCAATTTACAAATTTTGAGTTGCAGCAAATTAATAAGTAAAAATCAAAAATCAAAAATCAAAAGTATAACAAAAAGAAGAAATTTAGTAGCATAAATATTAAATTACAAATCTAATTTACCAACAAAAATGTGCGGTAAGCTTTTTTTTTTAGATTTGTCACTGAGTCATGAAAAATATCAAAATCTTTAATGGACGCGGAAAATCGATTGTACTCAGAACACATCCTTGATAATGGAGAATGTTTTAGAGCATTTGTTCTACTTACTGGTACAACAAGTATGTTAGTGAGAGGATTTCGTGGATATCTGTACGGGATTTTGAAATTTATTTCATTAAGCAATTCACTGCATGCCATCTGTCCTGACAACAGCTTTTTGAGGAATGTTATATCTAATATTATGCGGCGATTATAAAGTGACATCATTTTAAAGTGTTTCAGCCGCAAGTCATAGGTGGCCTTATGAGAGATGCCGGAAGTGTGATATGTCAGGTATCTAGTAAAGGATCTTTGTAGTCTCTCCAGACGTTGAGATGGTGCCGCGTATTGGGGACTCCACACAACTGATGCAAATTCTAGTTTGCTGCGAACCAGTGAGTTATAAAGGATTATTTTGGTTTGAGGAGAAACAAATCCTTTGGTATTTCTTTTAAGGAAACCTAACATCCTGGCCGCTTCTTTTACAGTTTTGTCCATGTGCACTTTGAATTTCAATTTCGTGTCCATTGTTACGCCTAAATCTCGAATCTCCTTAACCTCCTGTAACGTATCTAGCTCTAATTTATACGATGATGGCAATTGAACTTTTTTCTTTGTGTACTTAATGTGATAAGATTTCTTCGTATTAATAATCATGCCGTTCAATTTGCACCACATATTTATTCCATCGAGATCAGCTTGGATGAGCTCCACATCATTATTTGAAGTAACGGTTTTGAATATTTTTAAATCATCGGCAAAAAGTGAGTATTTACAGTAATTTATAGATGAGGTAATGTCATTTATAAACACCGAGAAGAGAACAGGGCCTAAGTGGGATCCCTGTGGTACTCCTGAACATGCAACATACTCATGTGATATGTGACCGTTCAGCACCACAAACTGAAGTCTTTTTGCTAGGTATGAATTAAACCATTCCAGTAAGGTCCCACCAATACCAGACCCGCTCAATTTATGTACAAGAAGCGAGTGACACACCTTATCAAAAGCGCTCGAGAAATCCATGTATATACAGTCTACTTGTTGGCGTCTATCTATTTCTTTACTTAGATAGGACATAAATGACACCAAGTTCGTTTTGATAGAACGTCCTTTTCGAAACCCATGTTGAAATTCTGACATCCGACTTTCCAAGTGGCGCGTGACAATTGGGCAAACAAGGGATTCAAACAGCTTAGGTATACAAGAAAGTATGGATATAGGACGGTAGTTTTTGATGTCACTGCTGTCACCCTTCTTGTACACTGGAACGATCTTAGCTTTTTTCCACAATTCAGGAAATACCCCGTCATGCAAAGATCTATTGAAAAGAAGTGACAGTGGCAGAGTAAGAGTAGGACCGCAGCGCTTTACAAAAACAGGAGGGATCTCATCCGGACCGGCACCCTTGAAGATATCTAGTTTTTTAATGGCACGTTTAATTTCATGTTCACTGAATCTAATTACACTCAAATATGGCAAACCGTGCACTGCGGACTCTAGGCTATCAGGTAATACTGTGTTACTAAACACTGATGAAAAATTTTTAGCAAATAGTTCTGCAATCTTTGTACCAGTGTTTGCAATTTCGTCATCAAGGCTCATTTCGGCAGGTATAGTAGTTTCACCACCTCGCCTATCCTTAATATAGTTCCAGAAATATTTAGGATTCCTGACAATATTACCCTCGACTCGTTTTTTATAACTTTGTAGGCATGCGTCTATTATTTTCTTACTTCGCTCACGAAGTAATTCATACTCCAACCTATCGCGTGGATTTTTGTATTTCACAAATTTTTTTCTCTTGCTTTCTTTTTCCAAGATTATTCTGATCAGAGACCTGCTAAACCATGAGGGGAACCTGCTTTTTTTTGGCTTCAAAATAGGGACGTATGTTTTCACGGCATTGTTTAAAATACGGTAAAATACTGTGGTCATCTCGTTAACGTTTTGACACCTATCGAACTGTTGTGACCAATTAATTTCCCTAAGATGAGCCAAGATTAGATCATAGTTCGCTTTGAAAAAGTTGTGTCGAGGTTTTTGGGCTGGTTTAAGTAAGTTCGGTTTTAGTTCCGGTACAGTAATCAATAACGGAGGATGCTTTCGGTCAATTTTATATTTTAAGTAGTCTTAGTGTATGTGTGCGTGCGTGTGTGTTGCACGTGTGCGTGCGTGCTCACCCGTGCGTGTGCGTGTGCGAGCGTGCGGCGGCGATGCCCAGGCGGTCGAAACCGGCGCGCGGCTCGTCGAGCTGCAGCCACGACATCTCACGCTCCACGCTCTCTAACGTGCGTGTGTGCGTGCTCACCTGTGCGTGTGCGTGTGTGCTGTACGTGTGCGTGCGTGTGTGTGTGCTCACCCGTGCGTGTGCGTGTGCGAGCGCGCGGCGGCGATGCCCAGGCGGTCGAAGCCAGCGCGCGGCTCGTCGAAATGCAGCCGCGACACCTCGCGCTCCACGCTCTCTAACGTTGCACGCACCGACTCCTCCGTAGCCTGCCGACCAAATACATATTTAGTTACAAGAAGATATTGACGTTCAAAGAACATAGCACAAATACGAGTCTTAAAATATACTACATGCATAAAAAGTTAATCAGGCAATAATAGCAAAAAAAACCCGAATAAATCTGAAAAAGAAAAGTATGAAGTCAAAAAGTAGGTAATATTTTACCCCAGTGCTTCGAAAATCACGTAAAACCTTGGTCCTGCGGCTGATCTTTCTCCGATCATGTTGGATTACCATCCCAAAAAACTATGACTGCGAAAAAATAGAGAATGCGACTGTGTTTATGCATACATTTAGACACTACAGGATTATCCTGTTCTGCACAAATGGCTAGTCTCAATTGAGATTGACCGCCGTGACCAAAATTTAGTCTGGAGGACATTATTATACATACACTGGGCACTTGCTCTGCCTGCGCACGATCACTCCACAAAAGCACTAAGCAAAGCCAACATTTATTATACTCTAAACATCTTTCTAGCTGTGAAGTGATGGCGTAAGAAAATCCACTATCTCATATCATCCTACGAGTATCGTAACACGCTAGTGAACCTGAAACAGAAGATAGCAGAGTCCTTCCTGATAATAACTTAAATTAACAAAAAACTGATTGCCGGACTGCTTCTTCCCCCCCCCCTCCCCATTTTAATAAATGTTATTTAAGTAAAGACTTTTAATTAATTGAATATTAACTACTAACCTCCATTTTTAGTTTTTCTGCCATGATTGCTTCTCGCTCTATGTCCTCAAAATTAGCTGCCACTTTGGTCGCACCCAACCCGCCTTTCCGAGCGCCCAACTGTGGTAGACCATTGGTGTTTAGTTAAAAATTAAATAGATATGTTTTTTAATTTTTCTTAAACACTTCATTGGGCGATAAAGGAAAACAATGTGAGCCTCTATACCCTTAGCATTTTAAGTCAACCCATACTCGAACAACAGGGCAACTCCTTTACCCTCTTACTAATTAAGGGAGGACAGGAATAAGTGGTAGTATAGTCGGTACGAAATAAAGTATGGGATTAGAAATGGCGGCTCATTGAGCCCGTAGCGTAAACATGCACCGTACCAATAGCGAAAACCCGCTAATAATGGTAATCGAACGTTATATTATTCGGTTTATTGAATTTAAAAAAAGGGGATATTTGAAAATAATTTGACACCTAAGAAAGTACATTATAATAACGTTTATAACTAGCGATCCACTCTGGCTTCGCCTGGGTCACCTGGGTAGGATCTATTAATGTGGCGTTAATAAGACTTAAGATAATCATTAAAGATCATTTATTTTAATCCTACCAATATTTCAATTTTGATAAAATCTCTAAATATTTCCTTTAAAAAATTAGTCTATATCACTCCTGGTATTATCCTCTATTTGTTAGTGATTTCGTGTAGTTTTATTACAATCGAGCCATAAATTACGGAGATTTATAGATTTATAGAAGATTATTCTACACGAGAAACGAAAACTTGAAAAATTGTTACTCATATCTCAATGGCACGTAAATATTTTATAGAAAAATATTAACAAACAAAATCAACAATATTAACCAAACTTTCAGAACGCGAACTCTCACAAATTAGCAAAACTGGAATGATTTTTTTTTTGTAGATAATGGGAATTTATTATAATTAAATTATAAACAATGTAATAATTTCATAGTTATCACTAATGCCAATACAGTTTACAATGTTACAACATGTTAAACAAACAGAAAAAATAAATAAATAATTCATAAACATTTTCAAACAATTAACAAAACATTATTAAAATAACAATCTTATATTGCTATGTAATCAATAGCACTAAAAGTATAAGTATCTAAATAAAGGTGTAGATGGATCTACCAAGTCTAAATAAATAAATCTTATCAAAAGCCGAATTTCCACAGTCAGTTATAGTCGTAGGATCTTTTTTGGTATTTAAATATTTATAACATTGACATTTCCTACATTTCTTTACAAAAAGCTCAACACCATGCTCCAACCCTGACTAAAAAAAATATATTTTTGCGAATGCTGTACAAAGTCTTATTCGTCCGCTATTGGGCAGAACATGACAATCGTTTAAAATAACTTCGTCTATAATCTTTGTATGCCTTTAATTATGCATAAACGGGGTCCGGACCACTTACGCATTTTATTTATAAACTGAGCTAGCTTTATTTCTCTGTATTAACTCACATATTTATTTATTTATTTGTTAGACATCGGGAATCGGGAGTTTTAATTCACTTCATTTATATTTCATTTGACGATGTTTATCATGCGTGTACTTTATACATATGCCCCCCCCCTCCAATTTATTTATGTATCTTTTATATTTTTCATTACATTCATTTTATTTTATTGGTACATAAACTTTTTTATCGTATTATATCAAGTGTACCTTGGGTTGTGTGCACAACCTTGAGGTCTATGTTTAAGTCATTTTAAAGTGACTCAAATTTGATTATCTTGGAAGAAAACTATGTTCACACGATGATCCAATCAAGGATGTGACCTCTATGTACCATTATACCATTATATTAGGGGTAACAAATTTAAGACTTCTCTGGTCCCATAGATTTTCATAGAGATTTTCATCACCTGAAGCAGCTGTAGCTAAGTACAAAACGGCCATTTTGGAGACCCCAACTTCCGAATGGAATGGTTGCTTCAATGATTGGTTCCATCGTATGGAAAAATGTGTCAAATTTCGCGGAGAATACTTCGAAAAGCAATAAATACATTTTTAAATAGTAATGTTGTGTCACTTCCTTGATTCCCGAAATTTTCAGTGCCGCCCTCGTAATGTAGTACCGGAAATAAGGCATTCCATCTTAGTCTTCAGGTGTAACAATGCATCTGCATTTTGATTCTTAATCGAGAATAAATGTAGATGTCTATGGGCCACAGTGTCCAGTTAACATAAGGTGTACTGTTTTTTTTATAGGATAGGTTGACAAACGAGCTGTACTTGTTTGTTACCCTTATATATAAAGGCCCACATAAATAAGGGGATTGCTTGAGAACTGATGAGAGAACTAAAGAAAGATAATGATTCCAGCAAACAACACAAATTTATTATTAGTAATTCAAAGCAGTTGATTATAATATCTTATGGATGGCAGACTTACCCCAGATCTCCTTGCGGTTGGCTTGCTGTGCGAGTTGGCGGTGGCCGGCGCGGTGCCCCACAGCCTCGCCTCCGAGCTCAGGCTCTCCGGAGCACCTGCCACTGTCTGAAGAACAAAACAACTCCTGTATAATGCACTACTATTATTCATCTATATAGAGGACTAGCTTGCCAGGCAGACGTTGTCATGCCCTTTTAGACGACCCTTTATCATGTTCTAGTTCTAGTATCATGTTCTATTAAAAATCCTTAAATTCGCAAAAAAAATTGTGGGTCACTCATGGGCAAAAAAACTATCCTATCTCTCAAGTTGGACCAAACTGCATACTGTGTACAAATTTGATCAAAATCGGTTAAGTAGTTTAGGAGTCCATCGGGGACAAACAATGTGACACATAATTTATATATACAATATATATGTCGGAGCAAGTACATCATCGGTTGGCAAAGCATAAGCTTTGCATTGTCTTTTAATTGATTATAATAATCAACGGTGTATAATTATTAATACTACAATTTAATAAGAGCAATATATCAGAAACATAACATGTAACTAGCTAGTTCTTTAAAACTCTTTTGGTTTACAAATCTCTTTATTGACCACTAATTCCTGGTAAAACAACTATTTATTCCATTATCAACTTTTAACTCAAATATGGTTTTAAATCGTAGAATAAACAATTGTCGATTTGATTAATAATCCTGATAATTGAAATTGCTTAAGTAACCTAATGAATTCAATAAAAAGTTATTGTTTAGTCAAGTATTGACCAATCAAATCGTCGACCAATCAGAGCACACCTAAGTCGTTATTACGTTTTCCTTATTGAATGAACGCGGCAACAGAATCACTTCAGTTCCAGCGCTCGTCAGTGTAGTTCTATTTTCCTGGTAAAACTTTGCAAGTATTATTTGTGAGTCTCATAATAGGAAGTGTAGAATAAAGTTGTAGTGCAAAATTAAAAGTGCGTGGTCTTAGATCTCTTTCATTACAATGGAAACAATATGCGGTAGCTCGACTGAACCCTTGTCAAATGGGGACAGTGGTGCTGCCTCACCATAAAAACAACCACTAGGTTTTCCGCTCCAACAATCATGTAGTTGTGTCCTTCACATTGCGCCGGTGTGTAATTGTGACTGGGACACACTGCAGTATGGTCTCACTGTAATTACTCTATGTATATATGACACCCTGAATGTTTATAAGTATAGAGCGTTACGCTGTCCTATTATTGATAACAATAAATTGCGCAAGCAAGAGAGCAAGTTGAACATCAGCTCTCACATTTTTACCATTTTTAATAATTAACACTATCCTGTTATTTCCCACGCAATTTTGGTTTATCGTGTTACACACTATTTCCGACATATAACGTAATTAATGCACACCCTCAGACACCCCAATTAGTATATTATGTTTTAATCATAATACATTATACTGAATTTTAGTTAAACATTTTTATGCACTGATTATTTATCAAATTAGTTATACTAATTCTGGAAGAATGTTGTGGTCACAGTACAAATCCACGAACGCAAAGACTTTAATGTGCTTGAAATAAAGTTCATTTTTCTTTATTTTTATTGAATGACAGAATTAGTAATAATACAAATAAAACTGCACTCTTAAGTCTTATTGCCTTAAGTTACGGTACATTTCAGTTTGTTTTGACTGTACAGATTTAGTGTGACTGTAATTTACATAGTTTTAATTATTTTTGGGATAAAAAATTACCTATGTTAAAAATGATAGGAATCGATTCAGTAAACCATTAGTAAACGAGAAAAAGTCGCTCATTAATAAATGAGTCTACGGGTATGGATAAAAGACAGTATATATATATATATATATATATAGGTTTACATAGTTAAACTGCACGCAAATCCTTTTTAGTATATACTAATATAAATAGTATCTCACACAAAAAACAGTTATTGAGAGAAGGATCATCACAAATATCTGTATTAACAAAATTTTATTAAACAAAATGTAATTAATCCAGGGAAAAGGTCTTTCAAACACAACACAAAGTATAAACTTCAAAACGAAATATGTAACATATACTTTTACTGGACAAAATATTTATTTTGGAATTTGTTTTTGTTAAAATGTAAATTAAAACACATTATTATGATCAAAGCATTTAAATGATGAAAGCAATTAATAATAAATTATGACCACACATACGTAATTTTAGACAATTTGTTACTATTAAATGAAGTTTTTGGTATGCTATATATTAGAATTGCAATGAATACCGTATTCGGCCACACACTCATTACCAAATATTCAGCAGACTTCCTGGCGAATAGCCGAATATTAGGAAGTTTTGGTTGGGAAGAAAGTAGTGTTTATTTAGAGCGTCTTGTCGCTGCAGCTGGGACTTTCCGAAAGAAGAAAAGGAGTAAACTACTGCCTGAAAATTCAGAAACATTTGTCTCTCTGCACCATAAACTTCAAATGTTATTTTTTACAATACAGAAGTTGATTATGTACCTATGACTACTTGAATGATTATAAGATTCTTATAAAATAAATCAATATTTTTTAATCAATTATTTGACTACAACAAAAAAAAATACTTTAGAATTCAGTTTTTGGTCAAATAGTACCTAGATATTCAGTATTCAACCAAATAGGCCAAATACCAAATAGTAGCCGAATATTTGTTGCAAGTCTACCAAATATATTTTGAATTATAACTAAATATATTGCCTGCCACAGTCAGCAAGTAGCAGTGAATGATTACCTGTGCAGTTATGCTAGGCTGGTTAGTGTTAGTGGCAGGGGATTCACCATGCTGCGCAAACCAGTCTACCTCCACCGACTCCTTCTCTTTTTCCTTTACTTCTACTGGGGCTGGGTCTAGGTGGAGCTGGGAAAATTATAAACAAAAATTATATTGGAATCCTTTCCCAGTTCAACACAGATATTGATTCTTAATCCTAATTAATTAGCAAGAATAGTTCTTTTTATTGAAGTGAAACTTCTTCATTATAGTCAACCAAATTTAAGAAATATCTTTTGACGTTTCACATCAATCATTCCGCAATAACTTTGCACAAGCGCACTCACACGATTTAAAATAACATTTTACGTAAATCCGAGGAATTATGTATCTATAATCTATATTTCATTACGTGTATATTTTTTATCACTAATTTAAATTCAAATCTTTCAAACAAAGCAAAATATTAAATAGATAAACAGTATCAGCTTTTTTACTTCACGTCGTTTCAATGATATGTGTTTGGATGATTAAAATTCATTGTTATGCGAATAATCGGCAAAAATATTCAAATAATAAATAATAATAATAAATAAATTTATTTATTGAATAAAACCATATTGACACTACAAAATTGAAGCCCTGACTCCCAAACTAGCAATAGCTGTGTGTCGTAATAATCGGTAAAAATATTCAAATAATCGAATCATTAACTTTTTTAATGTATTATTTGTTTAATAAAATTTTTATTTTTAAAATTCCTTAAATTACATGAATCATGAATAAAATAAGTTTATTCATTTTTTACTTTATCAACGTAAATTTGTGTAGGCAAAAAAACTCATATCCAAAGCCGTGCTTAAAAAACCACTACGTAATTTCAATCTCCCGCTATTTCGGGAGTTTACTGTGCGTAATTTTGTGATTTTGTGTTTGTCTTCTTATTTTGTAACTCGGCTTTAACTTTTCGGACTGTTTCTTCTATATTCGTTGAAGCATGTGCCCATGTCACAAAGGATGATTGGGCAACATTGGAAGAAAAACGTAAAAAAAATGATTATGGATGACTTTTGAAACAGACATTAATTTTGACTGCATTATTGAAAATTAGATAATGATTAATCTAAACAACGACAGCTCAACTATTTGTACCGAAAGTAATTGAATTAATTTATTTTTAATCTAGTTTCAATCTTAATCTAGTCACAAAGGATGATTGAACAAAAGTGGTAAAAATAACAAAAAATTGATTATCGATGACTTTGAAAGAGACATTATTTTTTTAATTCCTCTTCTTTAAGTGCCTCTCCATTACTGAAGGTCGGCAGTCATCCTCTTAAGTTCTTCTTTGTTCAGGGCTAGCCTGAACAGATCTACTTTGTTTATCCCAGTCCATTTCCGGTTGTTACAGAACCAGAACATTTTCCTTCTACGAACACTTCTTTTACCCGCTACTTTGCCCATCATATTAGCCTGCAGCAGTTGGTAACGTTCATGCCTTAGCACGTGTCCTAGGTACACAACTTTTCTCTTTTTGATGGTTTTGACAAGTAAGGGCTTATTCATTTTCATCTGCTTGAGGACTTCAATGTTGTTAAAAGTTACCAACATTGAAGTCCTCAAGCATCTGTCCATTATTCGGAGCATACGGCGATACATCCACATTTCAAATGCTTACAGTTTCTTACGGAGATATTTTTTCATAGTCCAAGATTCGCATCCGTATAGTATAACAGGCCAAATATAGCATTGCATGAGTCTTGTACGTAGTTTGTTACGTGGTAGAGCCATGCTGCAGATATATTTGTAGTATTGTTGTAGCACGAATGGGTCAGCTTGACCGGGGAGGAACCACGCTCTCACATAATACCAGCGTCAAATAGTAGCTTAATGCTGCTGTGTTTCGTATGGTGAGTGTAGAGAACCGGAGAACCTTTTTACTGGAAACAAGGCATTCCACCTATGTCCTCACGGATGACAACGCATCTGCATTTTGTTTCGTAATCGAGGATAGATGTAGAATGTGGGCCACAGCAGCCACTTACCATCAGGTGGACTGTGTGCTCGATTGTCATCCTATCCTATAAAATAAAAGTTCAATTGATAGTCTCCTTGTAGTAAGAACTAATTAATTTTGACTGCATTATTGAAAATCAAATAATAATTAATCTAAACAACAACTAGTTGTACTGAAAGTGATTGAATAAATTTATTTTTAACCCAATTTCAATCTTAAATTTTTATAACTGTGCCTCTAGTTAAATTATCCATTTTAAATTTATTCTGGTATTATTCAAACCAAACTGTAAATGATTACCAACTCTAAATAATCAACATCAATTTTTTTAAGAATCAAATATTACATTCCCATTTTTTGGTTGGCATGCTTGGTGCAATAAGTCTAACAGCTGTCAAAATGTATTTCTTAGATTTGGTTGACTATAATACATACAATACATAGTTGAGAAATTAAGTATGTTTACAAACAGTTCACAGTATTAAATATCAAAAACATCACATTTTCTTGCAACATTTCACAGCCAGGGCTGCATGAGTACACTATTATTTAAAATACTTATTTAAAATATAATAAAAGAAGAATGATAAATCACAGAAGTTTCACTGCGTGTGTGTGTACACAATTACATGCACATTTTTTCTTTCTTATCGTATCATCTTCAACAATGCTTGTTGAACTTTGACTTGACTCCTAATTTAATTTTTAACTCTTTTTTTTTCAGGTGATTGTATCATATTAATTTGTCAAGCCGTGCTGGTTCAACAAACCATGATGATGGAAAAAGAAACTCCATCACTACATGGTTTGTTTTTTAATATAACTTCTTTTTATTTACTAGATTACTTCAGAAGAAAGGTAATGGTTTTTGAGTATGCCTGTATGTATTTCTTTCTCTTTGGCATTTTTTTTTTATAGAATAGCATGCACTGTATCCCAAACTGCTTGATGGATTTTAAAATATGGGGTGTTATATATGTCTTACTTGTGAAAGTTTTTTTTATAGGATAGGGTGACAAACGAGCACACAATCCACCTGATGGTAAGTAGTTGCTGCGGCCCATAGACATCTACATCTATCCTCAATTACGAATCAAAATGCAGATGCGTTGCCACTTGTGAGGACTAAGATGGAATGCCTCGTTTTCAGTAAAAAGGGGAGATCCTTTTTCTCTACACTCACCATACGAAACACAGCAGTGTTAAGCTACTATTTCACACTGATATTCTGTGAGAGTGTGGTCCTTCCCTGGTCGAGCCGACCCATTCATGCTACAACTATACTACTAATATAATTGCAGCATGGCTCTACCATATATAATACCATATATAAAATAAAAAGTGACATATTATTTAAATGTTTTTCTTTTCAGTAAACTTGTTTTTGTTATTTACTACTGTTTTAACCATTGGACTTGTTTATACAACTTTTGTTTAATAAACTGAATAATGTTGATGTTTGATGACTCTTTTTTACACACAATAATAATCTTTCAAATAATAAAACTACCCCATCCCTTTCCTTATAGTTTCCTTACAATTCTCCCTTTAGCGTTAGGTCGTAACAATCTACTGCTGGCCATATGGAGCTCAAAATTTCACTACCCTAAACATCGCACGGAGCACCGCATTCCGAGATTATATAAAAAAAATTCGTCTTTTTTTCTACTCATCAATTAAAATCCACTGCTGAAGATAGGCCTTCGCCATATATTGCCTCTTAGGGGGTGTATTTGCCATAATTGCCACACTTGGCAAGCGGGGTGACAATTGCAGATTTTTATTCGTTATTAGGAAAATGCTGCTGCCCATCTCCTGATTTGTTTCCCTCTATCGCCTCTAGACATGAGTGATTAATAATAATAACATCACAGTGAAAAAGTCACTGTGATCTGCCTAAAAGTCGCAATGACAATTTATACTACAAAATAACATTGTTCCTTCATGCAGCTACCATACTATTTTATCCATTACTCCTGTCACTGATTTATACAAACAAAAGGAACTACATGTACCTTGTTACTGTGCGACAAAGTATGTGTACCATGTACTGGAATGGTACACAGAGCACAGACTGATCGGCTAGGTTAGGTGAAATTAGTATATTTAAAAAAAATTTGAATAGTACTTATAACATTGTCTAAAACTAAATCTAAAATATATATAAAGTAATTGTTATAAGTCATTCTAATTCTTTAAGTAGTTATCCAAGATGACAAAGTCACAATGATTTATGACTGTGACTTTTTTGTAACCTGAATGATGATTTATATAAAAATTACCTTTTAACTTTTTAACGGTAATATAAAAATAATCCTCTTCCCCACTAGTTACCTCTTATGATACTCACCAGGTGATATGGATATGCCAACACCACCACTACATGGTAATTGATAATTTGTCAAAACATTTTATTTATCGACATCTTGCAATTGTTGCTGCTCGCTTTGCTTGCTCACTTGACCCCACCATCTCCTTCTAGTTTAACCTGACTGAGTCGGGATACCCTAAGTCCCGAGCTCGCGTCGTTCGATTGTACACTCAATAAAACATCAAAATATTAACTTTTATAATTATTTCGATTTTCTAGAGCGTTTATGATAAAATTTTGTCAGAAAACCATATGAAAACTTTAAGATGTTTGTTTTTTTGTGTAGTAGAACAAAAAACATATAAACTTCATTTAATGCTTTGCAAAAAGTTATGAACGATTATATTCGAAGGAGTGCGTTTATGATCACATTTGAAGTCATAAAACTATATGAAATCATCAGGTGAGATATTTTCCATATTTTTTCCGTAAATCCGCCATAAAGTGGAAGATTTAAAAAAATCATCAAAATTAGATGATTTTTGGACTTTCTAGAGACAAAAAATGAGGTGACCACAATAGTATAAAATTACCATGAAGGGGTCTGAGAGGTTAAATATAATTTATGCCAATGTGAAATTCTTACTTTAGTGGTTTAACATTAATTTTTTCAGTCAATACAATATTTTCAATTATGAATAATTTTCTTACTTTCTCACAATTGACTGGCAAAAAATGCCATACATTATCAAACTTAATTAAATATATTAGAGAATAAATCACCTAAAAGTTAGCATCAATCTAAGGCCACCACTTACAGTCATGACCCATCAGCTTTATTTAAAATATACTTTCAAATAAAGCTGATGGGTCATGACTATCTTATATATACTATATTCAAATTTAATTACACTACAATGTAAGCAATTCAAAATGCTTCTATTAATTTATCCTATTTTGTTCTTAAAATATACAATTTTTAAATTCAAAAAAATTATAAAAAAAAAACAAATTTAATTGCTACTAGATATAGTGAATTGCATCACATAATATCCTAACGCACATACCTTAGTTCCATATGTTTTCATGGCCTGTTCAGATAAAGCATTTAATTTATCTCTATACATTTGTGCTACACGGGAGCTATATTTTTGACGAGCATCTTCAGTCACCAAGCCATGGGTGCGAAAATACTGAGTCTAAAAAAATAATAGAATAGTCAGTTCTATAATAATAAAAAGATGTATGAACAAATATCTTTGAAAATAATATGACAGACAAGTTTCAGAAATAGTCTGGGTAGGTAAATGGTATCAGAAATTCCAAATAACTGGTGCTGAAGGTTATCTTGTCATTACTCTCAAAGTTAACGTAGAATATGTAATAGTTACCGCGTTCACATTCCCCCCTAGCTGCATGTTTCTAAGTTGCTTCCATGTCCAGTTTGTGTCGAGTTGTGTGGAGCGTACGAAAGTGAGATGCACACCCAGGCTGCGATGCACTGCTGAACAATCCAGACAGATGAACACACCGTACGTCACCGACGACCACGTAGGATTTTTGGCATTGCAGTCGAAACATACCTGCGTATAAGCACATAATCAAACCATGACAAAAATATTAAGCGTTCGTATAATATACACTGATTAATACATACTTTATTTGAAGGAATAGCTCGTAACCTTTGAAAAATCGCTTCAATATCACTCTTACTAGGTCCCGAGTCAGCCATTTTCGAGACTCAATTTGACGTTGACGTGTTCGTGTTTTCAGTTTTCACCAGCTCGACGAAATTGTCAATTTAAGCCAAAGAGTATGGAACTAAAACACAGATTACTTTGAACTTTGAATATTCCGAAAACAGTTAAAACACAAAATTATTTAAAAATGTATTTAAATTTTTATTATTAATTTATTTAAAAATTCAAAAGTGAATGGCGCAGAGAGCAAGATTTAATAATATTTTAAAAGCAAGAACATACATACAATACGAGCTGTAACACCCTATTTCGTCCAGGGGTTAAATTTTCCAAAATTCTTTCGTAATGGGTGTCTTGGTCGAGAAAGGAGTGTATGTGCCAGATTTATTAGGTATTAAACATATATACCTACAGGAATATTGCCTTCAGCCGGCCCTGAGAGCACTTCTTATTAGCTTGTATATTAGATTGTCCTTAGAGCAACACTGCAGCTATTACAGCGTTCGACACGTATCACAGAGTATACATATGAAAACTCATCGACAATTATAATTTAAAAACAAGGAAAACAGGATAAAGATAATTATATTATTAGAATATATTATTCAACAGATTTCATGGCGGGGAAAGTTAATTTATAAGAAATCATGAGGTTTTTTGTGTCTTTGTGAATTATTAGTCATATTCTATATTAACTAAGTTGGAAATGAATGTACCAAACCACACATATTCTTAAAAGTAGATAAGAATAAAAAAATTGCCTCTCGGTCATCTCTAGCACTTAATATATATATATATATATATATATATATATATATAGGGTTTTCTCAGCGTTTATTCATTAACTTTCTAACTGGTTTTATATAATCTTCACGCCTCCAGCGGGTTCCCAGTTGGCACTCCGTTCGGGTTGTCCATCCCTCGGGAGGTACGAAACGGTTCAGAATGTAAATACTTTTCATTTTTGTTTTCAGTTTTGTTCTATTTTGTAGAATTGACAAGGATATAATGATTTCTTAAATTTACGCGAACACTACACATTGAATAAAACTAAATTTACGGATTTTATCGCGTTTATTTCACTACTTTTACTTATTTTTAATTCCCGACGTTTCGGGTGCTTTACAGCAACCATGGTCACGGGGGGGACTGAGATGTTTGACGTCCCAATTTCATAGTTAGTCCGGCTACCTTCAGTTTTTGAATATTAATTTTTGGTCCGATTTACGCAAAACGAGCTTATAGTATCATGAAGTCTTGCAGTGGTATGCTTAGGTTTGGGTTTAATTTTGTTAATTATAGGATCCCAAGCAGGTGGCAGCACCCATCCAGCTTCTCTATTGAAATTTGGATGTTTTTTAATATCAATAGCCTCGCGTATCATCCTTGGTAGGAATCGGTGTTCTTTTGCGAGAATTTGTGGTTTATCAAAACGAATGTAATGGTGGGGATGATCTTGAACATGATCGCAGACTGCAGACTTCCCGGAGCGTCGGTGCTTCATGTCAGCTATATGTTCTCTCACGTGGGTTTTTATAGATCGTTTTGTTTGACCTATGTAAGAGAGACCACATTCACAATCTAACTTGTACACTCCTGCATCTTGTAGAGGGATATTACACTTGACGGATGGTAAAAATTGACTAATCTTCTTCGGCGGCTTGTAGTATGTTTTAATAGAAGCTCGCTTCAAGATGTAGCCAACCTTGTCTGTGACTCCTCTGACATATGGTAGTACAGCAGGTACACGCTCGACTGTGGCCGGCTTCACTCGGTCACTGTGACGTAGGCGCGGGACCCGAAGCTTGTTGTCTTGCAATACTTGCTTGACGTGCTAAAGTTCGGCGGCCAGATGTTTTCTGTCACAGATCCCTCGTGCTCTCTGAAACAAAGATTTACCCACGGTAGCTAACTGTGAAGGATGATGGTGAGATTCACCATTTAAATATCGGTTGGTATGGGTCTTTTTTCTATACACAGTGTGACCAATTGTGTTATTAGGATTTCGAATGACTAAAACATCTAAGAAAGCTAAAGAATTATTTGCCTCTAATTCACAATGGAGTTAGAGGCAAATAATTCTTTAGCTTTCTTAGATGTTTTAGTCATTCGAAATCCTAACAATTCACAATGGAGTTAGAGGCAAATAATTCTTTAGCTTTCTTAGATGTTTTAGTCATTCGAAATCCTAATAACACAATTGGTCACACTGTGTATAGAAAAAAGACCCATACCAACCGATATTTAAATGGTGAATCTACATATAAACACCCATTAAGGCACCGCAGTGGACATCTCCAAGCCCTAATACGGCTTAAATCCTTTTAGATATAAGAGTAAGCTTGTGTCCAGGAGAGGGACGTTTAGAGGGCGTAATTTTACAGGGATGTTTCATTACAATGGTTTGTTTTACCGTCGATTTAATAATAATTATATGGATAAATCTCTAAGATTGAAGCAAGGAATATTATATTATTCTCTAACCAGAGAAATAAAGAATAGGTGTAGAACATAGAATATACTGGCGTACCTAAATCTGTGTCTGTGGGTGTAGAATACCCATCATATTTTATAACATAATGGTAAATCCATACTATTCAAATAAACTCTACTATATCTATGGTTACGACTCAGTGTTGTCATTAATTCGACACTTGTCCTGTTCTGCGGTAATGCAACTATTATCGTAACGGAATCAACAATTCGCAAGGGTTTTTCTTAGTACAAATTAGGAGATCATATAATGTAGAATAATATGTTTACTAAAAATATAGGAACATGTCTATAATAAGATTTTACAAATCTTGAATTATTTTTAAAATACAGAGCATACTATATTTGTTTTCGTGAACCTTACTGTCAATACTCTATCTACACTCTGTTATCATTAATATAACTGTTAGCTATGGAGCTGATCAGTGGTCCACAGTTATACATAGACCTCCTCCCCAAATTGCCTCATAGGTATCCCCCTATTTTCTTGTTATATTTGCCACGTCTGGGAGGTGGGCTGACAACAACATTAAAATTGTTTAAGTCGTTATTAAGAAGACGCTGCGTTTCTATCTGACTGTCTATATTCTATCCTGATTTGTTTCTCTTTGTCACTTCTTATAGCATTCACGAGACCAAGGTTTAAATTACATAATAAATTTTAATTTAATATATAACTCCGCCTGACTTTTGTCCGCAACATGGAGATACCTAGTTATTAAAATTATAATTATGTTTCTTCCTTACTATCGCAATGACAGCCAAATGTTCTTTCTTTACAAAAGTGACATTTTAATGAGACGCGAAAATCGAGTTCGCCACTGGCAGCACTACAAAGACCTCAGGCAAAGACTACTTATCTTAGCCTATGGTGCTTTGATGGTTTCGTGCAGACGGACGCACGTTAGGTATTATTTTATACAACAAAAAGTTAATTATTTGCTCATGAAGCTTTTCAATAATTTTGTAGTTGTTATCTTTTAAATGAGAGTTGTTATAGTGTTCTTAAAAAATAAGTGATTTAAAGGTCGGCATTTCAAAAGACGCTTTCGAGTGGCAATCATCTCACAAGTGCTCAATTATGTTGACGTACGCGACCGTAGAGGCTGGCGAGTGAAAGTTCTGGGTATAACTTTTCCTTTGGACGTAGTGAAAATATGTGTGAAAGAAGTCAAATACGATAGGAGTTCATCACGTTACAAATGGAAAACGCTGGTTTCCAACCGAGTGGTGAAGAGATAGAGCGCGCGCTCATGGATCTTGGGCCACTGCTCGGTGTTACAATTAAAGAGGAAGCGCCCGACGAGTTACCTGATGGAGCAGCCGGGGCCGCTCCTGCACCAGCACCTAATGTTAATGTATGTTTTCTTGTTACTTTAGATTTACATATCATTAATATTTCAATCACACAAAAATATTTTATACAAGATGTAAAATTTTTATTAATAACTAATCATCATCATTTTTAATATGGAATCTTCTTATATTAAAAATCAATTGCTGTCCGTTAGTTTTGCTAAATCTCGAAAACGGCTCAAACCATTTGGAAGAATTGTTTTGTGTGTATTTGAGTGGGTTCCTAGTGGTTTAAAACACTATTGGACCCGGTAGGTGGCGCTGTTGTCAAGATAAAGAAATCACCAGTGTAAAGTGGGGTGGATCTCTAGTTCTTTATAAAACACAACATGGAAGTGTATTCGGTTTACACACATTATCATCATATTAAATAACTTAATCAAATTTATATAAAATGATCATTATTTGATTGTCTTGTCACTATCATCTCATCCTGTATTATTGTATGACTATGTTGTATGTTATGGAATATATTACTTATTTATGGAATATGTTACATCGACATAACCTGGGTTTCTCCATTCAGGGGCTGCTAGACCAATAAATGCTACCCCTCAAACATCCTCCGTTTCACATGTATTTATTTATTTATTTATTTATATGGATCTCCAACAGTTGTACATATTAAATTACTTCTAACACATGCTTTACATCTATAAATTACTATGTACTACCAATTATAGGAAAACACATCATTCTAAAACAATAGCAGTGTTTATAATTTGCCTATTTTAATGGTAGTTGGAACAAAAATAAGTTTTACTAACAAAAGAAAGTCAATTGTTTTTGTAACATAAATAAAAGTTAAGTTTAGCATAAAGTTAGTGAATAATTAATTTTCTAAACAGCCATTACATTTTTTCATAAAAAGTGTGAGCCCGTCACAACCAATGACCAGTGTTGCTATGTTTTTTACACGTACATTGTATACACGTGATAAACGTGTTATTGGAGAATTCTGTCCAAGTTTTGTTCGAGTGCTGTCAGTCCTAAAGAAAGGACATGGGTTGCGAGGAGGTCTCTGAGGTACATTAATATTAAATCTGCTCAACAGCTCACTGTCATCAATTTTACCATTGAAAAGTTTATAAATACATTTCACATCAAGAAAAGTGCTACAAACTGCCAGTGGTTTCATCCTAAAGTAAGCGAGTTTATTTTTGTAGCACTCACTATGACTTGACGCCTTAAAACGAAAGATTGGGTGTTTAATGTGTCTTTTTTGAACACGTTCAATTCTTTCAATGTGGTTTTTGTAAGCAGGAGACCATACTTGATAATAATATTCAAGTTTGCCACGGACCAAGCTGTTGTACAGTTGAAATATTGTTGTTACCTTTTTGAAATCTTTAGACTGTCTAAGAACAAAGCTGAGCAGCCTAAAAGAAGCAGTCACTATAGAATTAATATGTTTATATCACGCCCAGGTCTCGAGTGGAATTGGTTTCCTTCAGGTTTTTACCCAAAACCATGTAAGAACTCATTAATGGATTATTTTTTCTTGTGAATTTAATAAAACTACATTTACCCGGATTGAGAAGCATTTGGTTTGTTTCACACCATTTTACAAGTCTATCAAGATTCGATTGTAGTTCTAATATGTTAGATTCTTGCTTTATAACTTTAGCTATTTTTAAATCGTCTGCAAACAAATAAACCTGACCATTTTTAAATACACTTACTATATCATTAATGAATAGTACAAAGAATAAAGGCCCTAAATTTGATCCCTGTGGAACACCAGAAATAGCATTGAAAGAATCCGAACACTCGCCATCAATTACTATTCTGGCATTACGATTAGAGAGATAGGATTTTGTCAACGGAATCAATAAGATTGGAAACATAATTGAGCAAATTAGTATTAGTAGACTTCTTAGGCATAAAACCATGTTGGCAGGGATATAAGTGATCTTTAACATGTGTAGGGGATGAGAGCAAAGTGGACTACATTTATTTGTTTTTCTATGTATACGCTAGGGATTACTGTTGTTGCAAATGAAATGAATTTAAACTATTACTGAGCCTAATCCTGTGACATCTGTCTGACTATTAAGGGTTGAGTTGAAATTAAAACCGTTAAGAAATAATTCACTATATTTATAAACTATTTACAATTAATTATGCGGCAGTTAACACTAAACTATTAGGGATCTTGAGGGCTTCTTGTTTGCTTGTTCTTCCGATTGGGCCGCTTGCTGTCGCTCGAATGCCGAAGCCGCGCCAGAGGCGCTTCTTATATTGTATCGGACGGTGCGCCGTAAGCACCGAGTTGGTGAGAGTGTCGTCCGCGCGGGGCCCTTGTTCTAATGCGGGACGCGGGGGACGTGTCGACGTGGGTGCGATGCGGGGCGACGGATGATAATCTTCGCCGTCTGCAACAACTTGATTGAATATGAATGGGTGGACAAGTGATTTAAAAATCTTTGATATGGTAGAGAGGATTGATATAGGTCGATAATTAGATACAAGTTCTTTTTTTCCATCTTTGTAAATAGGTACTATTCTATTACTATTTATTGGGAAAACTCCCTGTCTTAAGTGAAGTGTTATAAATTAGTTGTAAGGGGTAGGATATTGAATTTGCACACTTAATTAAGAATATAGGGGGAGCACTGTCATGTCCAGCACTCTGTTTTATATCAAGTGTTTTTATTTTGTTTATTATGCTTTTTTGGGATATGTAAGTAGTTAGGTTGTACCAGTTCTGGTGCACTTGTAGAAAGGTTGTACCAGTTCTGGCGCACGACGTTCGTCGACTCATCACGAATCTGCGGTCCATTTTTGCGTAGGATGCACGGTTCCGGAGATGTGCAGATCAATTAACTCTTATCTAATTGATATCCGCTGCGAGCCTCAACCGTCATTAGCGCTCCATTATCCTTATCTACTTATCTATTGTTGATTGACTACCGTCATTATCTATTATTCGTCAGCGCGTGGGTCGGCTTATGCTATTGTATTATACTCCTTTGTTCCTATCTACAACACTAATCTGAATCATCAATAAAACACATTACCTAATTTTGTTAAAATTTTTATTTATAAAATACAAAATCTTATTACTTATTATCTATAAAATAGGAGTGAAACATCTCATCCACTAACATATCGTTGTACAATGTGTTCTCTGTAAATATACTCGTAAAACTACACATTGAACATCCCTGAAACTTATATAGCAAATACATTAAGAAATATTCGCACAAACTGAAGTCCTATCAACATTCCAGTTCCATCTTTGAGACACATTACCTAATTTTGTTAAAATTTTTATTTATGAAATACAAAATCTTATTACTTATTATCTATAAAATAGGAGCGAAACATCTCATCCACTAAAATATCGTTGTACAATGTGTTCTCTGTAAATATACTCGTAAAACTATGCATTGAACATCCCTGAAACTTATATAGCAAATACATTAAGCAATATTCGCCACAAACTGAAGTCCTATCAACATTCCAGTTCCATTTTTTAAACACATTACCTAATTCTGTTAAAATTTTTATTTATAAAATACAAAATCTTATTACTTATTATCTATAAAATAGGAGCGAAACATCTCATCCACTAACATATCGTTGTACAATGTGTTCTCTGTAAATATACTCGTAAAACTATGCATTGAACATCCCTGAAAATTATATAGCAAATACATTAAGCAATATTCCCGATATAGAACCCGCGACCCCCAAGCGCAGCCATTAATTGCTAAACCACTACGCCACGGAGCTGTCAAAAGTCTTGTGTGCTCTTCGCTCTATGAGCTGACACCGAATCTTGTTGGAATACCCAGTGCCTGTTATTGAACATGGTATGAGAAACAGGTTACACAAGGTTCGTCAGGACTGTATTTTGATACACAACTGCATTCGTTTTTAACCTTTCTCACAAAAATGTACCTCTGTTAAGCCCCAATAAGAAACTCCCAACCATACCATGAGCGAGGATGGAAAATGACCTCGTTGGACACGCGGAATACGGTTGCTCGCTTCTTCACTACTGTGTGCGTACACCTTATCATTTTGTTTGTTGTAGCTCTCTTCTACGGTAAAAATTTTTTTATCCGAAAAAAGAATTTCCCCTATATTTTTTTCCCGCGTACCGCTTCACCAAAGCGCGGCATCTCTTCAGTCTCAGATCCATTAGACGAGCATTCAAACGATGTCCTGTTTTTCTTCGATATGCCCAAAGCCCTAAGTCTTCATTTAACGCCGTGGTTCTGCTTAACCCCATCTGAAGGGCCAACAGTTTCTGCTTACGTTTGGGATTTCTTTGAATTCGCACCTTTACAGCTTTTATCACTGCTGGAGTCCTAACAAATCGAGGGCGACCACTTCTTGACCTGTCATCTACACTAGAGTCTTCATTGTATCGTTTGATGGTACGATAAACGAATCTTTTGGATATATTCAAATTTTTCAGTATATCAAAAAATTTAATTGGCCGTACCACGTCTTTTTTAAGCGTCCACTCCATATGTAAAAATGAGTAAAATTCTAAAAAGTATACAGTTTTATTTTCATGAACAATTCGAATTCAATAAACTTTTTGTGGCCAGCATTCTAAAAGAAAAGTTTTTACTGTGTGACAGTACTTATGACCTGACTAGGTATATACGTTGGTACGTGGGTGTACATGGGCAGTCTGTTAGCAGCATAAACATTATTTTCTAGACTGGGGTGAATCTTTTTCAGATGTTGTTGTACATCTAGTGTATCCATGATATTACTGCTATTAGTAGATTACTACAGTACAATCTACTCAATGACTAACATAGGAATGATCAATTATGTGATTTCTAAATATTAAATTGCATTTTTTCTGTTATACAAAACGTATTTGAGTCATCAATACACTGAATAAGACGCAACACGAAGAATGTGAGATAAGGTTGTTGACGCATAAAGTTATTATCAATTCTACTGTAGAAATTCTTTAGATTAGAATTATTACTTACTGGTACTATATAAGACCAAGCAACTGCAGTCATGGAGT